ACACACACACACATATATATATATATATAGCATTCAAGTGCTTTATATACACCATATTTTCAAACATCCATGATTTATGGCTATATCTCGCATCCTAGACCTCACTGGCGAGGATGGGCCAGACCCCGAAGAGCAGCAAATGCGTATCGCACAAGTGCTGTCGACAATAGAGAGCATCTGCGCAACGGATACGGACAAAGCCAACACGGCTGACGACAACCAAAGCGCAACGGACACTTTGGATGAAGGTATATGATTGCACCCGTTACCATCACGAATCACCGCTTCTGGGGGTGGCTTGATACCCTTCATTGTTGTGTTCTGGAAAGTTCGGGCAATTATACTGTTCCGAAGTTGCTGTATTTTGTTGTCAAGTAAATAATAAAATGCGAGTACGCGATTCGGCGAGTAGACACTAGCTTGGTACGAGAAGCGCACACATTTTATGTATGCGATAGTTGGCGGTATGATTAGAATTGAGGGTGAATAGGTAATCTGGTCCTCGGCATCGGTTGATATATGCGAACTGGGTGCCACCGCTCATACTTACGGACGTACATAAAGAAAAGGCTGAATGCCTGGCTATAAGTACTGATGTATCGTTCGAAGTGATATATGCGCGTAAGTTTTGCGCTCGTTATCAGTGAAGTCACACATAACCGCGCATACCCGCTAGATCCAATAGTCATGTATGCAAACGCTACATGAGAATTACCACTCTAGAGGTCTAGTGCGAGCGGAGTTATTACGTATACGACTATATCTTTGTAGCTTGTCATAGATGCTATGCGAATTACCACTCTAGAGGTGTAGTGCGAGCGGAGTTATTACGTATACGACTATATTTGTGTAGCTTGTCATAGATGTTATATGACAGTGAGCAATGAGGGAGCCGCGATCTTTACATCCGTGGTGGTACTATACACAGGTACTTGCATATGAATCTACAAATGGATCTATACATTCGTGGTGATACTATACACAGGTACTTGCATATGAATCAACAAATGGATCTATACATCCGTGGTGGTACTATACACAGTTACTTGCATATGAATCTACAAATGGATCTATACATCCGTGGTGGTACTATACAAAGGTACTTGCATATGAATCTATAAATAGATCTATACATAAGTGGTGGTACTATACACAGGTACTTGCATATGAATCTACAAATGGATCTATACATCCGTGGTAGTACTATACACAGATACTTGCATATGAATCTACAAATGCATGTAATTTCACTTCTACACTAACCTCCTGATGTACAGAGGTATAAATTAGTATTCCATTCTGTACTACACGCACGTAATCACCACTCGCATGTAATCGCCACTGTATCTGGTAGATGACATGTCGCAATGGGCTGTGCTCGAGGGGCGTCCGCTGCTCAGAAAGTCATCGCTCTCCAGCGAAGGCTCGCTTACTGAGAATGGCATCATGCCCACGTCTAGAGGCAAGACAGGTACCCACGGTGTATATACTATACACAAGGTTACACACGAAGTATCACACTCTCTATCATTTTATACTGTACCCGCCTACTCACTATGAAGCGCATTTTCATTTGTGTCAATTGATAATAAAGGGAAATGAGGTGCATCCGTACGCACGCCTACTTGCCAAGTATTCAACAATACATGCAACTATTTCAACCCACTATACCAACACAACAAAGCACTTCACACCATACCCTACTCCAGAACCACTCATTCTAGTTGCTTGCGTTTGTTCAGACAACGTATGGTGCACACTGGACACACGCGGTCGCTCTCTAACTACGCGCTCCGTGTCCTCTCATGACTGATGCTTCCTCGGGAATATCATACTATCCTTTCTTATGTCTGTGGTCGCACATAATATGTGCTGAATATCTCAACTACGTGTATCCAGAGTTGCCGGTTCGATGGTATTAAGGACGAATGTGGTCAATCCAAGCGGGATTGGGTTCTCGATACAGACCAATTGCCTATAATATATGGAGACGTCTGTGTTCCGCTCAATTTATAGAAATGTATTTGAGACTTGCACCCAGTGCCCTAACTGAATCAATGCCAATACACACAGATCCAGACAAGCGAAGGCAAGGAACAGCTGCGACACCGAGGAGTTGATATGCACAAGCACACACACATACACACGCATACATGCATATATATTGATCGAGACACGTGATTGACACATAGGCACATACGCATACATATATATAAACATCTGGACAATGTGTATTTGAAATTTAGGAACACTGACTGAAAACCAACGTTTACAGAGCCAGGCAACCGTACGCATGCAGGAACTACATTACTGCGCCCGGTGTCTGCGACTGAGGCAGAGCAGATGCTCAAGGCCGTGGGGTGGGATGTGGAACAAGCTGTCATTGAGTTAACAGAAGCGCAGGAAGAGGTGGGTGAGAACAAGTGGACAGATGATGTGTAAGGGTGTTGGGCTATTTGTTTAGCGTGTGAACATGTATGTCGCTGTATATACTTGGGCGCTAGTGTGTACGACATTGTGTGTGCGTGTATGTGTGCGTGTGTGTATGTCGAGCAATCTTGTGTGTAAATCTATGTCTGCTGGGATCTATGTGGGTACTTGCTTGGGTACGAGTAGATGTGTAGATAAGTGTATATGCTTTTGTAGTTATGTGTAAATATGATATTTTGAATGCGTCTCGGTATACATACATACATACACACACACACACATAACCACACCCACACCTACCTACCCACCCACACACACATCCACCCAGTCACCCACCCAATCACACGCTCG